ACAAGAGGTAGGGGGACCATAAGTTTTCGTGGGAAAGACCCTCCTTCTTTCTTGATTTTAAAAAAGTGAGTTTCTTACCCACGAAAGCTTATGCTCCCAGTACTTCTGTTAGTCTCAAAGGTGCCACAGGACCCTCTGTTGCTTTTTACAGATTCAGACTAACACGGCTACCCCTCTGATACTTATAATGTTTAGTTAGTGTCTTCACTAATTAAACATTATAATTAACACAATTAATTCATTAGTGTATTTTATAATGTTTAATTAGTTTCTTGACTTCTCCTCTCAACCATGATATTTTTTTAACCAAAGAAGCCATAGCTCATGACTGCAGAACTGTGGTTTGTGTGGGCATCATAATTATACTCTGTTTGCAAATAGCCACTGAAAATAGAGTGTGATCCCTTGCGCCTAGGTAAGCATCAGTGATCCACTTTATCTGTATCCATCAAACTGAAATCCAATGTAGAATTATCCTGAGTTGGTTACAATATTTTTTGTCTTAGAAAGTTATCGTCTCTACATTGACAAATGTTTTACTAGTGGCAGCATGAAGCCTCCAGCCTCTGCCTCCCAGACTGAAATCCCTCCTTATAATACAGTTTATTTTTCTACACATTATAGGTATGTGTCTGAGAGCTGTTCATCCTGTTCCTGGTCTAGTATCTAGGGGCAGAGCTCTGAGTTTTGGGGGGACTGTGTGTGTATGTGAGAGAGAGAGAGAGAGAGAGAGAGAGTGGGTGCCGGAGTGAGTGTGCCAACACACTGTCTCTTTAAGCTGAGCATTCAGGACCCTGAACAGTGCTGGCAACTCCCAATTCAGACCCAGAGACACCAGAACAGACAATCTCCCTCTGACCCCCACCCCAGCTCAGCGGAGACTGGGTACACAGGTCGGGGGAGGGATACCCCGATATCAGTGTCCCCCCCACAAACACACACAGCAGACAGGAGCTAGGCTCCAGGTCCCCAGCTTAGCAAGGGGCGGCTCCATGGGCAGGGGGTTTGGAGAGGGGGCAGGAGCACGGCCGTCTGCAGACGGCAGTGGAGCAGGGCAATGCAGGAGGAGGGGGCAGCACTGCTTTGGAGGAGTTACCTGGCTGGTCCAGCTGCCCCCCGTCCAGCTCAGTCTGTCCGCTCTCTCCAGATGCTGCTGCACCTGCCTGGCTCTAAGCCCCACTGGCTGTTGACTGGGCAGGTGAGAGTGAGGTACCAGCATGGCACCCCCTTGAGTGCCACGCCCCGGGCAGCAGCCTGGCCTACCCACCCCTAAGGCCAGCCCTGGAGACACCAGCTAGTGAGGAACCTCTCTGGGGTCACCTACCAGCTGTATATAAAGCTATTCCCATTCTGCAAGCCCTGCAGCTGGGAGTCTCCTGCTATTGGAGCCGGGTTCATGCTCCTCTGATTGGATGAGCTGAATTTGCATTGTCTTATTGCAAGGGGGGATTGCTGGTGAGTCAGAGGTCTTGGGGAAACTGACTTCTTCATAGCTGAGTCTCTTCAGCTGTTACACCAGGGGAGAAGGGTGGCTTACAGGAGCACATATGGGAAAAGATCACCCTGTGCAGTGGGGAGAGGGGTTCACTCATGTGGCAGCTCACAGCTCCAACTATACACAACCCTGATGCGCAGCAGTCTCTAGAAGTGTGTGGATTATTGATCTAAATTTTGACAGTTGCAGGAAATTGGGGGGCAGGGGTCAGACAATAAATATTTAATGACAGCAGACACTGAGATTCAAGAAGTTAAAGTTTTTAATGGTTAAAACACAAATTGTTGATATCAGATGTAAACATATACAAAGTGAAGAGTCTTAAATCAAATGCTCATATGGTTTCAAGCAGCCTGGCTGTAAATTTTGATTACCATCAATGGAACTATTTTTCATCAGTTTGTGTCTGTGTGTGATGGTTCTCAGGACACTCTGGACTGCGAGTCATCTCGTTACCCCTTGCTTCAGTTAGAGGGAATCACTCTTGTGATGGCTGGTAGTCAGTTCCCTGACACTACCTGCCCTTCAGCTACTCAAATACTCTCCTCTGAGCTAGGCCAGCCCTGACTTCCCCTTGCAGGTTAACAATAGCTGTCCCCAGGTCCCTTTGAATCAGTCACCTCTGATATACATCCCCTGACACTGGCTACTCACAGACATCCCAGATTCCCTGCCCCTGAAGGAGCAGTCTGCCCCTGTTTACTGGTTTTATCTTAAATTACCACTCCCGTATTACATGTGGCACATGTGAGCTCTTGTAATAAAAGAAAAGTCAGTTTATTTAAGGAAGAAAAAAGATTTAACAAGAAACAGGAGAGAGTGGCAGAAACAAATGGTGGCAATGCAAAAGAAAATCATAAAATGGAAAGGTGGGTCTACAATTATCATTAATTACCTTTCTTATCTAATAAAATCGATTCTCAAACCCCCACCCCTGCCCAACTTTCAGTCTGTTGCAGAGCTGGCTGGTTTCACAACAAATTTTCATGAAAACACTCTTAATCTGCAAAGCATTTACTCAGTGGATGGACACAGAGTGTGTCTCTTTCTCTGGGCTAGATTGAAAACAGCCTTTTGTTTCTAGTCAAGGACAGGGCGAACCCCTGTCTAGCTGTAAAGGTGTTTTTTCCCCCACTTTGCAGTGGTTTTGATTGTTTGTAATTGTCTCTGATGGTTTTTCATTCAAAGTCCTGGTATTGTGCAAGACTAAACAATTGAACCTTGCATTGCATCACCAGTGACACAGGGTGGGGTGACAACTCTTCCTTGCCTGAATGGACCATCATCGAGACACGTTACTGTATCTCCTGGTTACTTATTTCTACTCCAAGCCCATAAAGCACACTGTCAATATGAATATGTTATTCCTTGAATATTACCTGTACATACTTCTCACAAAGATTATGAATCTTGACAAGTTAGGAGCTTTCAGGTTACTTTTTATGGTTAAATATCCTGTAAGATTTGTGTTTGGTGTAGTGAGTTTGTCAGGGCTGTGGTGAGAATTGTTTTCAAAGAACAGGGAATCCCTTGCCAAGGGGTCTCTGTTTCACAGTGTGAATGGTGAAATTGACATTTATCGACATTTACTGATAAAATCTAATCTCTCCAAGCGTATCTATATCCTAGGACAGATACCTTCCTGGGCAACTGGTTTAGAATGTAGCATCCAAAACAGAGGTAAGGTAAGGTACACAACAACACGTTAATGAACTGGTGGGTTGGATCTTCGGTGACACAGAAAGTGCTTTTTAACTTGTAAGCAACTGTGCTATATATAGAAAGCGTTTGGGGGGCATATTTTGAAGCACACCTACTGTATCAGATGGACTTGCTGCGAGATTAGAATAGCTTCCTAAAAGGAGGGGTATGTATGTCTCCCTTTCATAGTGTACTACTTTATCTTAGATCATAAAATTGGCCCCATTTGGTTATTTGGTCTCTTGAACATTTTTTTATGATGAACCAGAGGTTTAATGTATGAATTGTCTATTCACATCACTCAGGACACTAGATATACTGTAGCCCCAAAAGCCAGGGCAGTGCTGTGAAAACAATTCCAGCTCTAACTGCATTTCTTTCTTTTAGGTGCTCTGAGCTAGAACCACAATGAAGTTTAACTATTCACAGCCCCAGAGCTCTACCTACCCAGGGCCCTTCCGGCACTCCAGCATCCTGTCTGTTCCAGCCATAGTGACAATGGGGAGCCTGGTGCTGGCACACTGGGTCCTTCTGGTGAGCCCCTTCTCCCTCCTTGTCCGCAGGCTGTCCTTCTGCCAGCGTTGCCTCATCTCCCACTCATACTGCGAGCACATGGCCGTGGTGAAGCTGCCGTGTGGGGATGCTATAGTCAGTGTCATTTATGGACTATTTGTGGCTTTTATGGTGGTGGGGTTTGACGTGTTTATCATCTCCGTGTCCTATGCTATGATCCTCCAGGCCGTACTGAGGCTCCTGTGCACAGACGCCCATCTCAAGTTCTTCAGCACCTACATGCCTCACTTCTGTGTCATCCTGGAATATTACATCCCTGCCTTCTTCATGTTCCTCACCCACCGCTTTGGCCACAATGTCCCGCACCATGTCCACATCCGGGTGGGCAATCTCTACCTGCTGACGCCCCCTATGCTAAACACTGTTGTTGATGGGATGAAAACCAAACTGATCCGTGAGAGGGTGCTCTATATCTTCCAGCAGAAAGTAATCTGGGCAGTGTGTGCCTGTCTAATTTAATCTAGGAGTATAAAACATTCATCACCCTGGCCTCAGACTCATTCATGATCTGCCATCACTCACACTGGTATGTGAGCATAGAGATGTCACCCTGGACTCCGGTGGGCTCCACCTTCCCTTCCTGCCCAAGGAAGTATCTCATCAGATCACCTCAGTGGTAGCTCTAAGGACAAATGTGAGAGAGAAACCTCTTCTCTCAGCTCCCATTAGACCCTCAGCCTGGGCTCTGGATGGCTCATTGGTGGGGATCTCCGTGGATCTCTATCAACCATCACTCTCAATAATTTATAACCGCTTTTAGCAACTGTTTCTTGTACAACAAAAGTAATGTGAAGAAATCAGGTGTGCACAGCTGGATCTCAAACAACTGTGTCTTCTAAATATACCCCAAAGTGCAAGGCTCAGGTGGAAATTGGCTGGTTTCTGGTGGCTTCTGAAACACAGAACATATTGATCACTATCACAGAGCCCACAAACTATTCAAAGGCATGATACTGTAATCCTATACACAACATTAATTAATGTTTGGTATCCATTTGACAGCTGTATCGCACCACACAAAAAACAATCTCTCCCCCGAATAGATCACAGTTTAATTCACACACAATCCCCTGAAACACATGGCAACACTATGGCGGGAAATAGATTACAAGTTACGCGCAGCCCTGCTTGTTGGAGGAATGGGCCCAAGATACACAGACACACACCCGGCCCATGGGGCCGAGAGACTCAGACACAGGCCTGGCCCCTGTGAGGGGAATGGGGCTGAGAGATGCAGACACACACCCGGCCCATGGGGCCGAGAGACTCAGACACAGGCCTGGCCCCTGTGAGGGGAATGGGGC